TACTGTGTGACTGTGCTGAGGAGAGAGATATGATTATCAACAGCTGCGTGTTTCTGCCATTCATTTGCAGAACGGCTTCCCGTTAACTGTGAGTCATCAGTGGGGTCCTAGATAAACGTGGTGGCCTTTGACTAAAATGAGAGGACAATGTATTCTTTCTAGCTTTCTTAAAAAAAACCCTAAACATGAAATAGATACTAAATTTGGTAATTATTGTGTATCAACAACATCACGTGCTTTTTTATTGGGGTCAACAATTACATATACTTCCATTCTGGATATGAACAGAAATACTTTTTTCTGCCGTAGTTTTAGAATAAACACGATACAAAACAAAACGAAACACACACATACACACACGCCAGCAGGCTGATTTAACTACATTCAAACTACTAGGTCAGTTCCAGTGTTGTCAATTAGGTAAAACGAGAGATCCACCGTGACAAAGACTGGTTGCCATGTTGTAATAAATCACTCGACATTGTCATGAAGGGTGTAGGTCAGTTTTATCAGAGAGAGTATTCTCAGCATCTCCTTATACCAACCGTCCAGTGCACGGATGGCCCTAGAAATACAGAATTTCAACATTTTTTTTTATTTTCGTGTATGTTGTACTGCTTTGTACTGCAGTTTTGGGGGTTCACTGAAGACGGTGTTTGCACTGCTTTTTTGCATCATTTCTCTTTATAAAGCCGTTTTCAGCCTTTTTGTTAGTGAGCGGGCTTTTCCAAAGAAAAGCTGAGACTATTTTTATTGATTATCTACACTGTTGTAGTTTAATCAGGTTTTTCCGGCGCAGCCAGTTTGCTCTGGTCTTTACTCTGGATTTTTTTTCTATAAACATATGTCAGTTTTCCTCTGTTTTGCTTGTCAGCGTAAAGTGAGTGTGAGAAATTAGGTGACAGGTGAATGTGACGTAATTCGTGTGAAATGCCTGCCTGAGACCAGACCGAGGCAGATGCGTCCGTGAAAAAAAGGAAAAGAAAAGCAGGGCAGTGACACGCCCTCCAGCAGCCTGAGATGCCGGTACACGCCTCGACTTATCTCAGGTGCTTGGCATGTGGTTTCCACTGCAGACTCTGCTTCCTTACCAGCGGCGCTCATGCTGGAACACACCGCTGACGTCACGTTAAGTTTTATGGCACTCCCCTTTATTTAACACACCCCGCTTACAAAACAAAATATCAGATTATCTAACCACTGAGGACTGAAATACTCCGGTTCTGTCTGGGTCTGACCTGGAATCGCGTGTTCTTGTTAAACTCTAGATTTGATCAGTTCAGAGAACTGACGATTTACACTAGAAACACACACTCCAGTGGTGGACAGTGACGAATGTACTGTATTACTGAACCTTTACAGGTATCTGTACTTTAGTCTTTCCATTTTTTAAGACTTAAGGTTTACTTAAGGTTTACTTTTTCTCCTGCAAGATGCAAAAACTAGATTTTTTATGATATACAAAAGTGCCCCAAATACTGAATGTCCACTCAGAGGCAGTGTTTTAAAACTCCAGCAGCACTGCTGTGTCTGATCCACTCCGACCAGTACAATATACACAAACACATCAACTCCAGATCAGTGTCACTGCAGTGCTAAGAATGATCCACCACCCAAATAATACCTGCTCTGTGGTGGTGCTATGGGGGTCTTGAGAACACAGTAAAATGGGGCTAACAAAGTATGCAGAGAAACAGACAGACTATATTCTGTAATTATAGAACTACAACTTGTTCCTGTATGTGTTTCATCTGTGTTTCAGTCAGAAGTAGCGTCAAACCCAGGCTGAATCCCAAACGGCACCAAACTGCCTAAATAATTGGGTGTGTTATGAAAGTTAATAAATTCTAGCCTCTACAGCCAAGTAATGCACTGTCGGGTATGGATGTGGCTGAATCCCAAATGACTATTTTTTTAGCTATATTATGCACCATTTGGGTGCACTATCCAGTATTTAAATTCCTATGTAGCGCACCATGTAGGGAGCAGGGCCACTTGAGATTTACCCCAGTGTGAGAAGAGGGGCACCGTTGGATTGGTGCTATATAAGACTTGTAGTGGTATTCTGGTGACAGCAAAGATATTTGCATTAAACAGAGCTGTGTTATCATATCCTCATTGTCATACAGATAAAAGTTAAAAAGCTCATGAAATGACCGCAATATATAGTAATGAGTGACCGAACATTCTTCTCTGCATTCAGCAGTCCATGGTTGCTTGGCAACAATACCAGTAAAGCACAGCCTCTAATGGCTTATTGTTTTATTTTACCATGGTTATCTCCACTTTTATTCAAGTACTGGATTTGTGTACTTTTTAAGTATTAGATTGTGTACTGACACACACACACACACACACACACACACAAACACAGAGCTGTTTCTTGCTACATAAGGCTTTTAGTGCACCTGAGCCACCGGGGAGCCATGAGGAAAAAAACTAAAAATCTCAGCTTGTTTGTAGAAAAAAATCCCATTGAATCCAAAGATTCTTATTTTCTTTGATCAAAATTAATATACTTCAGGTGGGTGGGAGTGATGCATAGAGCCCCCCAAATGTTCAGAAAAAGCTCTACACGCACAGACAGAGTAGGACACTGAATGTAGCGTATATTAAAAATAAAAAGGTGCTTTCATGAACAAATGCTGCCAGATTCCAGTCAGTTAGGCCAGGGCTTCCTAAAGTCATGTAAGGGACTATGACTATGCACATGTTTTTCCCTCGTCTAGCACACTCGATTCAATGAATTAACATGTTCCTCATATGCTGGAAGTGTACAAATAGTATTTTATGCAATTAGGTCTGTTGTTTTATGATATTCACATATGTGGACAGGTAAATTTTAAGTTAAAATTACATTTTAAACCATTTCCTTTTTTTCTAATCATGTTCATCTGACACCATTTTTTTCTGATTAGCATGTTTGAGTGTAAAGTTTTGACAGGTGTGCCAGAGAAACTGGATTCAGATTGAAGAAATAAACTGAATTCATGATGATGATTAATGTTATGTTGTGGCAATAGGTCTCGAAAATGGCCTCAGATCAGCTCTGCATGGATGTGAACACTATTCATGAAAGGGTTAAAAGCAACGCACCAATTGCTTTTCACTTTCAGAAAGTCACGTGGACTCTCTTTCATCCAATCCTACTTTTATTTTCTGCCACGTGGGTAAAGTATTTGGTTACTAAGGCAACAAAAACAAGGAATGCTAGCTTGTGCAACATGTGGCAGAAGCACAGCATGGGAAGCCTATGAAGTAGGTACCACAACATCAGTTTTAAGAAATAGTGTGTGCTTCTTCAGGATGTTTTGGGTAAATTAAATACACATGATTTAAATTAAACTTAAATTAAATCTAAAATTTTGACCACCAGATGGATTAAAAATAGTGTGTTATATATGACATTGGCCAAAGATGAACGATATATCCAGTCCATGTTCTAGCTCAATGATTCTCAGCTTCATTCCCTTTAGAGGTGACCCCCTGGTCCACATAGTTTCAGCTCCTTCTGTTCTCTGCCCCAACACACCTGACCCAGCTCATCAGGTAAATATCAGGCCCATCAGGAGTTGGATCAGGTGTGCTGGGGAGGTGGAATGTCTTATCTAGGTTACAGCGAACAGGACTGATGTTGACATTTTTAGGTAGACCACAACCAGTTCCATGGAAGGAGGAAAGCTGTAACTGTTTCAGTTTCTGATAACAGTGATGAAAACCCCAGTCTAAAAACAAAAGCAGCACTCTCAGAGTGAGAGAGGAACATTTACTCCATTGTTATATTCACCAAATACTGACCACTTATTTCCAGCAGATTACTCGTTTAAAAAAAGCAAACAAAGAAATGTATACATTTTCATCTAAACTGCTCAGTTAAAGAAGCTAAAGAGTTCATTGGGACTTCCAGCCACCTAATTTGGAAAAAAGTGTCAATAAGATTGTGTGCATCACATCCAGGAAAAGATGACTGATTAATTTTATTATTTGATTAATAAATATAAAAATATGACTTTGTCAGGTAACTGACTATAGAGCACAGAGAATGAATTTTAGGATAGTTTACAGTACATTTGTGAGGTTTTCATAATAGAAAAAGGCATTTTTGAAAATGCCTTGTATTGACAGAAAATGTTTGTGGCCCTTTGTCTTACATAGTTTACTGTGTACGTGGAAGGCTAAGAGCTATATATTAACAAACAAACTTACAAAGCTGGTTTTTGACTGTGGCTGACCCAGATAGCAATCATATATTGGTCCGTTGGCTTCATAAGGTCGGCACCCCGCTGACTGTATGCCACTGCCATCCACCCTCGGACCACCCAGATTACAGTCTAACTACTGAAAGAAAAAACAGCAACTAGGTCTAATGTAAAATGATTTTGTTGAAAACGTTGCTGACACTGTGCTAAATTAAATTAATTTATTAAACTAATTTACAAAGGATAACGGAAGAAAGAAAAGGAGGAAAAATAAGGAAATGAGTGAAAAATGAGCGCTGAAAAGTAGCATTTGTCTAACACTCTGCTTAAACACCAGTGAGCCACCCAGAAAAGCCATTGGGCCACCAGCTTTGCCAGCAACCGGTCCACAGTGGCCTGCTATACTCTTGCCATCTGGGGGGCTGTATAACACATTAGTTGATTATTATTCAGGGACATAGAGAGCTACACAGCGTTGACAAATAAACAATGTTTTTTTCATCACAAGAAAAAGGATGCTTTTTAAACGGTTTTCTGAACGAATCTTAAATTAAAACATGACCATTGTGAAACGTAGCATTAGAGGGTAAGGTTGTGCTGTCTAACGGTTACAGTCCTTTCATCAACATTGGTTCAATCAGCGGCCACAAGATGCACGTTTCCAAACGCCATGCGCCTTTTTTGACTGGCCTGCGTAACAGCCAATCAGCATTCAGAATAACGTTCCACCGAGTCACGATTTGACCATTGAGATTTCGAGGATGTGCGTCGCTGCCACGCAGGCACATTTCTATCAACCAATGAGAATCAAGTGAGGCGGGTCTACGGGTGTATACGTAGCTGTAAGTACAGGTTGTCTCACGAACTTAGCTAGCTACGCTTTAAACCGTTGCGTTTATTTTAGTAACGTGCCTGAAATTGGTTGAATCTGACACTGTCGGTCATTTTACATGCACCATGTAACTGTAATTTGTAGAAAGTGTCATCTTTGGAAACAGAAATGCCAGCTAGTAGTCTACGTTGCTAGTCCGCTAACTCTGTACCTAGCCTAGCCAGCTAGCTAGAACAACATCAGTTAGAACGGAGTCAGAACTGAGCGGAAACCCAACTTGACGCTGTCTACAAATTTAATTCATAGTAACACTAGTTAGTACAAGTGTGCAGACTTCTTTTTGACAAACCGTATTGTTTTCATATTTAAAGGAACAAACGATGGCCCTTCCACACCATGGATACCGGGCTAGTAAGTATGGGAACTTTGCAATCTCACGTTGGCTATCTACTCTGCTCTGAATGTGAAATGGCAATAGTGTTGAAACATAATACGCATTAACGTATAATTGGTCATAAATCTCAGTGTCAGAGGTTTTACATCAGCTAGTATCGCTAATGAAAGATAAAACTACACGACACACGTAGCCAAAGCTGTTTTTTTTTATTTCTGATAATCGTTGAAACAATAAATGCGTCTAAAACACGTATTAGGGATTGCTGTTTGTTATTCATTTATGTAAATGTACGTTTCCTCATATAGCAAAACCCAGAGCCCGTGCAGCCCCTCCTTCAGGGGACCCCCTTCTTTTTGAGGACACCAGCTCTGGGGTGCCACCCGTGAACAGCCAGAACTACTACGAATCAGGTTATAATATAGGAGGTGGAGCAGCAGGAGGCCAAGGAGCTGGTGGAGTGAACACCCTCTTTACCGATCCAATGGCTAATGCAGCTATGATGTATGGCTCCTCACTTGCCAACCAAGGCAAGGATATGGTGAACAAAGAGGTGAGCTGTACAGATGATGGTTTCTGTAGCTTTTGCAGATCACACATTATGTCAGTGCTTCCTCTCTTTATTTGTTCCTCTTTGAATTTTCAACACTGGTCCAACTAGAAGTGAATTTCTGTGCTCAACAGATCAGTCGATTCATGTCGGTGAACAAGCTGAAGTATTTCTTTGCAGTAGACACCAAATATGTCATGAAGAAATTGATGCTTCTGATGTTCCCTTACACGCATCAGGTAACAAAATTAACTGGTACATCTAAATAGGAAATTATCATGACAAGGAGTTATCCCCAGTCTCAAGTGTGGCAATGATATCATTCCAAAGATAATATAGATACAATAGGATATTTTCATTGACACAATCTTAATGTGTTTTTGCTATCAATGTAAGTAGTTGCGTGTATTTCAAGCCTTTCTTTAACTCACATGTTTTCACATAATCTGTTGTGCATTAATGTGGAAAAAGCTTTATCTTGCCTTGCTTAGTTTAATATTTATCTCTAGAAAGGGCATATATTGACCTAATAAATGTCAGATATGGTATGTACCGTAACAACGTGTCTCTCTTAATCTCAGGACTGGGAGGTCCGGTATCACAGAGACACACCACTTACCCCTCGGCATGACGTCAATGCTCCAGATCTCTACATCCCCAGTAAATAATGTCCACTGGTTATTTATTCTGAAGATGTAATGGCTATAGGTTAAAGTTCTTTGCTTATCACATAACCTGAAGTGACGTGGTTTGTCATAAGCTGTATCAGGTTTTGGATGAGTTGCATTACAAGATACTGAGTGAGGCAAAAGATGCCATATGGACCGTTATTCGTTCTAGCTGAGCTAAAAGACCAGATTAAAATGTCATAGAAAAGACTGAACGCAGAATGAATATGTTTATCAAAAAAAAATTCAACAAAATCTTGAAGATTCCTTCATACTGTCTTGTAATGACTCCAAAATCTGTGACCAGCAGTCATGCTGTAGTAATTTAACATGGTATGACCATACAGCTATAGAATATTACTATGTAATACTGTCATATGCAAAAGTTTGAACACTGTTTTGTTGATTTTGTAGGTGAAAGTAAGTTAACACATCCTCTACAGAGAACAAATTTACATATGGCAATTTTTCTGCAAATTTGAGGGTGCAATTTGAATTTATTTAGGTCTAACATATTAGAAAAAACATTACAGTACATAACTTTTGCACAAGCCACATTTTCTGATTTATTTTTCCCAATATGTTAAATTCAGCAGATGAATAGTAATTGTATGTTAAAATGTGCAGAAGTGTGTTCTCTGTAGAGGATGTGTGCTTATTGTCACTTAGAAAATCAACAAAACATGTTGTTTGACTGGGGTGCCCAAATTTTAGCCTATGTTTGTATATAGTGTGACATGTCATTTTGTCATGTTTTTCAGTTTTTTGACGCAGTAGATTCTCTGTACATTTCGGTTGTCCAGTCCTCGTTTTATATTCTTTTGTTCTGTATTAAGACTGACATGAGAACAATGAAATATAATGTCATTGTATATAGATCTATTGGCCTATTGACTGCATTGATATAATGGAGCATGAAAACAGGTTTATTATTAAACTTCAGCGCTACTATATATCAGCACCAGGTACTCAGACTGTAGGCTACGACTATCAAATCAACTTAACTACAAGGCTTCATACAAAGCTTACTGGCCAGCTATCGGTTCAGTGCATAGCAGCATTAGCTTGAATGTGTTGTTAGTATTATTATTATTATTATTATTATTATTATTATTATTATTTCAGTGACCTCTAATTCAAAAGACCCGAATGATAAATGAAAGAATTATGTACTTTGGGCAAAATATATCCACTTTGGAACATTTTTGTTTATTACAGGGAGCAAGAGCAGTGATTTCCAAAAACACCATTAATTTTTTTTAAGGAGCAAAACATTGTAGACCCAGAGCTCCTAATATGGACTTGATGCCGCTTCCTGCGGAATGATGATGTGTTGTACAATAGACCAGTAAGACAGTAGACAATAGACCAATACAATAGGTTTACTGTTGTTTTTCTTGCAGCAATGGCTTTCATCACCTATATTCTGCTCGCAGGAATGGCTTTAGGAATACAGAAACGGTAAGTGGTTGTGCATCAGCGACTCAGACACAGAAATAACTTGAATAGGCATGCACCAAAACGTGAAATTTCTAATACTGCAGTTTTCTGTCTGCTCTGTTTCTACATTCATAGGTTCAGTCCAGAGGTCCTGGGTTTGTGTGCGAGCACAGCTCTGGTTTGGGTTGTCATTGAGGTTCTTGTAATGTTGCTGAGTCTCTACTTGCTCACAGTGCACACAGATCTCTCAACCTTTGACCTTGTTGCCTACAGCGGATACAAATATGTTGGGTATGTTTTTTTGTTTTTTTTTTTGTTTTTTTTTTTCCCCAGTTGAATCTGAAAAATCAGTTAACTTGTCATTTTACTCATGGCATTTTCCATTACTCTGCATATACACATCACAAATGTCTTTTTTTTTCCTCAGGATGATCTTCACTGTGCTATGTGGGCTACTCTTTGGCAGTGATGGCTACTATGTTGCTCTTGCCTGGTCCTCTTGTGCCCTCATGTTTTTCATTGTGAGTACAGGAGCCTGCTAGTTTCACATTACTGTCTGCTTAAAAATTGAGATCTCCAGATCGTGCCCTTAATGCAGTGACTACTGTAGTAAGTATGAACTTGGCTGTGTAAGTCAAAAAAACTATGGGCACTATGCCTGGCTAATATAATAAAATAATATCTTTTTTTTGTAGCCTGTTTGGCCCTTTGTTTTGGAGTATGAATGATTTGGTACTTTTTGGTACGTTTCAAAATGTACTGTTCACTCCCTGGTACCTACAGTCCATACAGGGAAACTAAAGCTGCAAAAACATCCCATTTTGAATTAACTGTTTTTATGATGTCATGAAAACAAACACAGTTACTTTTTTTTTATAAACTTTGAGTTTTCATCACGATACAAGAAGCAAAAAAGAACATATAGAAAATCACAATAGTACATTATCATTTTTAAATACATTCTATAAATTAAGAGTCCCACAAGTCGGAATCCTTAAACAAGGTGTTCATCATCTTCAGTCTTTTCAGTTCTGTTTTTATTTTTTAAAAACGTTCTTGCTTGTAACAAAAAGTTGATTGATAGTCATCCTGCGTCTCGATTTTAAGAGTTTTGACTTCACTATACAGATTACTAACCAGAAGAAATCATGTTTGTCCTTTGTCATCATTTCATTAAAAATCCCATAAAATGCAGATGTTCCACACTTCTCGAGAACAGTAACAGTTTAAAATAAAGTGCTCTAAAGTTTCCACCTCTCAGCAGTTCGGCATGGGGCACAAGGTTGTCTTAACGAAACAGCTCCACCACAGCTCTCACCGGAAGTCTCCTCACTGCTATTAACCAAGAGGAATCTCTCAGCTTTTATTCAGTCTAGAAGTACTTAGGCTCTGCCCATTCAAATAGAAGTTATAAGGAGTGTTTCAGCCTGGACTGATTTTTGAATGAACAATACAGGAAAGTCAATCAGAACAAAGCTTATTTACATGTATCGGTCTTAAAGTCACTGTACCTAAAACAGCCTGTTTAATTTTAAGGGATAAAAAGAGGTTGGTTAACTGTTTTTAGTACATAAAAACTACACAAACATCAAAAATAATAAAATGGCAATAATGATAAATGAGATGTTTAAATATCTTAACTATAAACATTCAAGTCTGTAAACGTCAGTGGTATTTTTGAAGAGAATGTTCCAACTTTACATCATATTTAAAAACTTCTCAGTAACAGTTTAATAAAATGTATATTTCTGTTCATGTTTAGGAGAGGAAAATATGACGATGTTTATTGTTATCATAAATCATGTCTCGTGTTGATAGTATGTAGCACACTTGGGACTTTTTCATCTGTTCTAACGAATCGAACCTAAAAAATAAAAATATTGTGATCGAGAAAATGTCTTGAAGTATTATTATATTTTTGCCCTATTGCCCACCCTTATTATTGATGTAGAAATCTAAAGGAATGTTAGTGATCACACACAAATTAAAATTCTCTGATGTTTCTCTGTTTCCAGGTCCGTTCTCTCAAAATGAAGATCCTTTCTTCACTATCTGCTGATTCCATGGGTGCTGGAGCAAGTGCTAAGCCCCGCTTCCGCTTGTACATTACTGTAGCCTCTGCTGCCTTTCAACCAATCATCATTTACTGGCTGACTGCTCATTTGGTCAGATGACCAGGAGCAAAGACTGACCTGAAAGAAAAGAACTTTAAAACGATGCAGAAAGCAGCGTTGGGCGTAAATAGGATCACTCCCTAATTTTTGCCAATACAAAACAAAATGTGGCCTGCCAACAGCGATCATTACATTGTGCCCAACTTTGAGGACTTACCATTGAATTCATTCTCTCACTTTCATGCAGAGTGGTTGATTATGATCCAACACCTCTTCTGAAAGAATGACTGTACATACCCATCTTTCAACCAAAGATTCAGATTTGAGTTTTTTTTCCCTTTTTGTTTTTTCCCTTTTTGCTTTAGTGTTATTGAATCCTTTTTCTGCCACTGCCTTCTAAGTCACAGGGAAGAAGTAGTACAAAACTTTCTGACGAAAAGTTGCGACGATTTGGAGCCCCTCCTAAAGGCAACACAATGTCTAGCTTAAACTTCCCCAAAGACAAAAATGTGTAATGCAAGAAAATCTGTAATTTTACATTTTCACCCTGGAACTTTGTGCTTTATGCCCAGTGTGACTTTGTGTGGTATATGGTTATAGTGTTAAACACATTGATTGCTGAACCTGTGTCCCTCTTTTCTATTTATCTGTGCATGAACAACAGTACTTTTCTTATAGTAAAATAAATGGTCAGAATTTTAATTTGCAGTCTTGTTTTTGTATTAGTATGCTGTATTTGTGTTACTATTTTTAATATGTTCTCAGCGTGCTACAGATTTTGGTGGCTTCAAGAAAAATAATCATATGCAGCATCAAGACCACTCTGTAGCATTTTCATATGCTGTTTGACCGTACCATCTTAATCCTGACCTCTGAACTGGGGGACATTCCGCAAAGCAAGAATTGCATGACCAGGGCCCACCCGCAGGCCCAAAGTTGTATTACACACTTCTATAACACAAGAATAACCAGTTTGCACTGAAGTCACTGTAGTTACTGAATAATTAGCCTTATTATGTAATAGTACTGGGATTTTAAGTTGTTAAACAGATAACTTTAAGCATTGAAATGTAAACAAAGTCATGCTGAGTGTTTTAAAGAAAAATGACCCATTCTAGAAAAAATCATGGAAATTAAACTACCAGAAGAGGCGTTATTAGCATTACACATAAACTCAGAAGGCACATGTATCTTCTCTGGTTGTTTGAATAACAAAAGAAATAGCTGTCTTTGTATTAATGTTTAAAGAAATCTTGAGTTAGTACTTTTCTTCAGAATGGTACATTTTTCTTCAAAACACACATAAGCGTTTCTCAACAAGGTGCTCAACGAGGCCTACTGAAATATGGAAAAGTCGGTGGAATTCTCCTTTAAGCTAAAAGTTAACCCTGACTGATAGGAGAGGAGTTTAGGTCTGTTAGTTTTGAGCAGTCCTCACTTATGTTTACATTATCTTTACAGAAAAATCCTGCTTTGTGAAATACATCTCTGATCGATCCACATTCAACACCATGTTAGAGTTGTTAAAATATCTTGTCTTTGTTTTGTAAAAACGTCAATGCATGTAGGCGTTGCTGAAAAACAGGTGTTTTGCTTTTTTAAAAGTCCATTTGAAGTAAAATGGGTGCTGGTCTCTTTAAGAAAGGGTCTCACTTGAGGCGCGCCGGCTGCAAAGCGTCTTTTTGGTTTCCAAGGAAACGTGAGAAAGGACAGGACGGAGAGAGAGAGCGTAATTCGATGAGTGGCACTTCTTTTGCTCTAATTTTAACAAAACTCCTGTTTTTGCTGCTTAATCTTATCCGTTAGGACGCAAAGTGGTCGTGTCTTCATTGCAGGCTCAAAGTTAGCAGGTGAGGTAAGTTTCTCATGTACAGCGCTGTTTATTCCTCACATGAAAGGCTCGGGACTGCAGGGCTAATTGTTGTAAATGTAACTTAATATTCTAGCGCCATTTTCTCAGGTGCATGTACCATGCGGCTTCACTTTTCTAACTAGCCTTAGACAGAGTAGCATTAGTCTGTAGAGGCGCGTAATATTCCACCTTTCCCTTTTTATAATTGTTAATATCTATGATATTTAGGTAGCTCACACTCTCTCCCTCCATTTCTCCTCAGACTGTGTCTGTGAGATTTTTTTGCTTGACTAGCTTGTTCAATAATTTACTAGCTTGCTGATTGCTAGCAGTCAGTCACGGATCAAAAATTTAGCCTTGGTATTGGTAAACACGTCCAAATTTACTTTACTGTGGGTTTAACTTACTTTGATATTAAGATAATAGAATTACAGATATCTTAAGTTAGTTAAATTTTTAATTTTTAATGTATGTTTAGTTAAAGGGGGACTTTAGCTAAAATGAAAAATGTAAACACTGCTACATCTGTTGTAAACATGCCTACTCGCCTCAATACGATGGTACTGAAATAGTCTAAAGAGTGAGATTTCCTGGTTTAAAGACTTGGACAATCCCCTTCAGATGATGTATCTAGAAGGTGGGCGGAACTACCAGCACTTTGGCACGGATACATGAAGGTGGACTGTTGTAATTATTATTTTTCCCCCACCAGCTAGCTAATGCAGAAGAAGGCCAGAAAGCCTACATTACTGCTAGGAAGCTGAATACAACATCTGAATAAATGACAAATAACATATTACATGCTAGTTTTAGGCCACAGTGGATCTCTGATCAGTTCTCTTTATGCCCCAACAGGCCAGCAGCTGAATGTGTGTTCCTGTGCCCCAGAGATTGGAGAGAGATGGAGAACGACACACACACACTGCCATCGCTTTCCCCTATACATTCCCCGACAAACCCCTCTAAAACCCTTTCTCTATCACCATCTCTTCCTCAGCCCTCTGCTACTATCCTTGATTCAACTCTTTCATCCCCAGCTCCATCTCCCTTTCACCCCCTGTCACCCCTTAGGTCTTCTGGAGGGCTTAACTCACACTGCCTCAGTCCCACAACTCCGTCAGACCAAGATGACCTGACCTGCCTCAACTGGCTGCATCAGAGGAACTTACTGGCCTTGCAACCGCTGCCTAAGATGCCTACACTGCCTCAATTAGAGTCACTGAACCCCCTGCCCACCCCAAATCTACCTTCTTCACCTACCAAGCCTCCATATTCTTTCAGCAGTCTCATCTTCATGGCGATTGAAGATTCCCCAGACAAAAGGCTTCCTGTGAAAGGCATCTATGAGTGGATCGTCAACAACTTCCCCTACTACAAGACAGCCCCAAGTGGCTGGAGAAACTCGGTCCGACACAACCTGTCCTTGAGCAAGAGCTTTCGGAGGATACACCGGGACAAGAGTCAAGTGTGTCTCAGTCTTCAGATTTACTTCACAAAAATTTGCTGTTGTGCTCACGTTGAGGTTCTCTTAAAACACTGTTAACTGTAAATCTTGTGTTTTTTTTGTTTTTTTTATCATAGTCTGTTGGAAAAGGCTCACTGTGGTGTGTTTGCCCAGAATATCGGCCTGCTCTTTTGGAGGTGCTTAAGAAAACTCATTATTGCCACAGCAACAGCAGCAGTTTGCTGAACAATCGCACATTGTGAGTATTGCGTTTTGTATTACCTTTTTGAAAGCAATAAACATTACATGTCAGTGTAGGAAAGAAATACTGCTTTTTTTTTAAACTAATCTAGTCTCATGACTGTTTATCTTTGGGACAGGTTGGAGGCAGCTGCGTATGGACAGACTGCTGTAGGTGACACTGCAGAGATTTCAGGTTAAGCATTTTGAGGAGATTCAATTTGGAATAAAACAAATCTGTAAAATTAATTAAAACATTTATTTAAATTATTAAAATGGCTTCTCTTAAAATGAAATTACATTTGGGGTTAGTAAAGCAAATTTGCACAAATAGCTAAAGGTTAAAATGTAGTTTTTCCTTTTTTCCTTATCTTGTGCTTCGGCTCCTCTTTTTCACTTCTTGCAAAGCTGGCGTGTGTGCTGTTGTCCTGACAACAACCTGGCATTACCGTGGCAACCTATAGCCACGACATGATGGCTGGCCTTTTTTTATCTGTCTTTTTCAGTGCACCAGTATGTAAAGTGATTTTCAAGCCTGAGCTGTGTTTGGATTCCTCTTTCATCCAACTATTACTCTATAGAAACAACTAGCTGTATTGTGACTCATGCTTCGGAAAGTCTTTTTCATGGTCATTTGCCTTTATTCAAGCCTGATGTCAACAGAGAAAAAAGTGAAAATGATAAGAGAGTAGTAATGCAAACAGGGAAATGTGTAAAAATCAGAGCATGAGTTGCAGTTTTGGTGTTGCCCCCATATTCATCTTCTGCTCTGTTCCGTATTACAGATTTGGATTCAAATAACCCACCTCTGTCCTCAAACCCGCCATGCTCTTTGATCCCTGACCATGAGGAGCTGGTTGCCATAGAGTCTGTAGAACTCTCAGAAGAGGCTTGTGAGGAGTCAGAGAAAGACCCCCTCTCTGACAGCGGCTACATCGAGTTCCACTATTATCAGTATCAGCAATACCAATACCTGGTTCTACCAGGGGATACCGAACTGGACCTGGAAACTGTTGAGATCCTACAACTTGATGCAGAGGCCCAAGAGGCTGCAGGATCACTGCTTGACTTAGCAGGAGGAAGCCACTGATCCTATGCGTTCAGCTAAGTACAAACATCTTGATGGAAAGATAATAGCCACTTTCATCTTATAATTTCCACTGCTTTATTTACTTTATATTTTTCGAAAGAAACTGCCTGAAATTTTACACTACCAGTCAAAAGTCTGGACACGGCTACCCGTTTTTTCTTATTTTTACTATTTACCACGTCTTTACGTAATTGTGAAGACATCAAAACTTATATATGTCGGGACCAAAAGAAATAGTCTCGCTGGGGTTTATAAATTCTTTTAGAAATTAGCCCTCATTTGCCTTGATGCAGTTTTACATACATTTAGCATTTTCTCAAGCAGCTTCATTAGGACCCTCTTGAGATGCTCTTCTAGGAAGATACATACATACTGAGACCTTGTTGTTGCCGAAAAACATCTGCGGGGGGTGTTTTTAAAAAATATGTGTTTTAAATTAACTTTTAACTTTAAATTAAAAATTTTTGTTTTGGAAATAATTTTGTACAGAGGCGTCAACTTCATTATTTAGATGGGTCTTAGAAAGCATTAAGCAGAAGTCTTTAGATTATAATTATAAAAAATACATATTCAGTTAGGTGTGTCCAAACTTTTGACAGGTGGTGTACATGCTACAATAGTGTTGTATGCACTGCATTCGCAGCTGTAACTGAACAATAATGGAATGAGAAAAAGAAATTTATGGATTTGGCCATACAGTTTTTATAGGCAGCATGCAAACCTGCGTGAATGGAAAATAAATGGGAGACCAAAATTGCTTTGGGAACAGCGAGATTGATGCAGGGAAGGTTTTATATACAGTACTGTGCTTTAATTCATTGTGTTTTTGCGCAATAAAATGTGCAAGAGTAAAGCAACATTATATATTTTGTCATATTTAACATTCAAGGAACAACTGTAGTAAACCATAGCCTTGTACTCTCCTTATAGTGTTTTTATTAAACAGACTGATGCATAGTTACCATTAAAATTTTGAATTATGTAACTCCCTTTAAAACAAACAGCACTGTTAATTGTCAGAGTGCACTTCCAAGACCTGGCTCATCAATACAGGTTAGAAAAACATGAGTTCTTAATTCTTGATTCTTTATTTTGGTATATGTGATGCACATAATGGTTTATTATGATACTCTGTATTTGAAACAAACTGCCATTGGATTCACATCTTGTTTACGATGTGCATAGGAAGTGTAATGTGTAACTTTTGTTCTTTGTTGATTATTAACATGGTTTCTTTTAAACACAGTGCACCACAATTCCTTCTGTTCATTTGTATAAACTGTTTAGAAATGTGTTGAGCAGTTTGAATCAAAATGCCCCCACTTTGTGTTTATGTGTAATGCACTTGGCAATAAACTTATGAAGTGATGACTACCCTTGCTCCCAATTCAAAGCCATATTTGAACTGAAAGTATGCTGAACGTGCTGGGTCTCCGATCTAGATTCGAATAACTCTGTGTGTGTGTGTTTTGGGGCATAACCAGTCATTTGCTCCATGAATGACTCACTCTGGCATGTTCAGTAGACACTCCCTACGGGTCTGGCAGAAGTTATTTACGGGTAGAAAAAAAATACAGCCTGTACACTGACGCTTAATTACATCCACCAATATGAATCTTCTTATTTTAACAGAAAAAAAACGATTCAGTATGTGAAACTCTTCTCCGACAAAGTGGAGAAAAGGCTTAGCCCTCTCAAACATGTTGCACTCACTCTGTCGTCGGACCGTACACATGGCTAGTCGGTACCTTGGGAGCTGTAGTTCTTTGGTGGTTTTCGAACAGCGTATGGGTGTGGCCTGGGAATGCAAGCAGAGCGCATGCAAATAAACTACAACTCCCACAAAGCGCATCAGCTCGGAGACATTGGCAGTTGAAGAAGTTCTTTTTTATTATTTCCAGACCAGGGCTGAGTCTTCTGTCCAGAAACAGCAGTTGTGGTAAGTTTAGCATCCTGACAAAAAAGATAAATAAAGGGTAAGTTAGACGAATCAAACGTTTGGTTCTAAAAGAGTTTAGCAACGTATTTAGTTTACGTTATGCACTGTTGGAGGCTTAGTGTATTTCTGAGAATATTAAAAAGGTTTAACCTTTTGTTGTGAAGCGAGCTCACAGTACATCGCTAGCGTTAACTAACTTACAGCTTAAGGCGACTTTCACCATGATTTGGGATCAGGTATCGAGAGTAGCTAGCCTGCTAAACGATTTAAGTTATGCGCTGTTACGTTTCCGTATGTGTGTATATAAGTTAAACACATGTGCCGTTAAGGCAGTAAATTGATGTCATATGGACCCAGACTAATAATATGTGGACATTAATCGCAATTAATGAAACGTCAGATCCTCCGGAGTGAGCAGAATAGGTTAACGTTAGACGTCTGACAACAACACAGCAACACTAGCGTTAGCCACGTTACTAATCATAGCTTTGCGAGGGAGCTGGCTAACTTTTACGTTTGACTTTGAGCTCGTACCGTAGCTCACACATGACACGTTGCTGTTTAGCAATGAAAATTTTCAAGTAGTATCTCGCAACTCTTATGCAAACTTGACACGTATCAGCTAGTTAGCAAGGATGCGTAGCTCCACTCCAGCTTTTCTGGGTTCACTGTGGAAAAAACTGTCAGGAAGCAACGGCAAACTTACAAAGGACGTGTAGCTTTGGGCGTAGCTTCAGGTGACACACCAAAATACTTGTCATTTTTTTCTCCGCAGTAACTTAGATTAACCGCTTTTTGCCCCTGGGGTGGATAAATTATTAACTGCTTTACAGCATCTCTTATACACGAGGATGAAGTTGGTTTCATATTAGCCCGCTTCGTGTTCGCATTTTCCCGTTCCACCTTAAATTTGAAGTGGGACGGGAAAATTCGAAAAGAAGCTGACCTCAGCTTCGTGTCTTACATGCAGCCTCTCAAGTTACTCTTGTTAGTTTTATTCCATGTATGGCCAAAAAGCAAAACCACCACGTGTACTTTACGGATATAAAATTATACAATAATATATTTCATATATTTCTCATAATATTTCACTGAAGACTAATACCACCTATGCAAGAACACGTTGGTAGGTTACCATTTTTGTCCTCTCTTGTGTGCTCATGCAAAAGAGTCTCATAAGTCTCATCAGTGAGACATTCGTGGCATGTTACCACTTGTGTTTTTATGTACCACACCTCACTCTGCTACTGTCATTTAGAGGCATGCAACAAAAAGGTAGGCTATTACAGGTTAGCCTGAATTTCTAGTTGAATCTTCATTCTTAGCTGATAACTTGCGTCTAGGCAATTTTTTTTTTACAGAATTATTGCATGGCAGTGTTGATTGTACTCATTTGCCCACGGATGAGGGTGGTCTGAATGGCAGAAACAAAGACGCTCATTCAGTAGAGTGCAGAAGCAGAGCTTGCTTTTAACCTCTGAGCTACTACATCACACATTACCAAAGAAACTAACAGACCCAACATTGTCCCAGATGGTGCTTTCCAGAAAGATTTTATAACTTCTACGCTTGTGATATGACAAAATCAGTTAGAATACACATTATCTGTGTTTACCAGATTCATCAGTTCACAAGTCATAAGTCACACTGCGTTTGTTTTTCCACAGTCAGAGTGCTGCAGAAGAGAACCAAGAATGGGTACCGAACCTGGTGCGGTCCAAATAGTGACCGTTAATAAGGAGGATCACTCTTTTGGCTTGGACACAGAAGCACTTGAGCGGATACTGCTAGCGCCTAAGGTCCGAGACATGGACGTGGTGGTGTTGTCTGTTGCCGGAGCCTTTCGAAAGGGCAAGAGTTTCCTCCTGGACTTCATGCTTCGATACATGTATAGGAAGGTTAGTTTCCCTGCCAGTGCACTTACAAACAAACACGTCATTTAACTGTGTGTGGCGTGATTGAAAGTGATCCAAAACACCATCACTTACCCTAAATGAAATTGATCAGTCAAGACAGCAGCCCCCTTGAAGCTTGAATTTTGCCTTTTCTTTTGTCTGTCTTTATAGAGAACAGTCTGTCATACGGTGACAGAAACAACATTAGAAAGTGTGTTTAAAATTACTTAACAACATGGTGTCGTTTGAGGCTAGGGTGTGATGATTTTAGTATGCAGTGTGCATACTGGTAAGGCTAAGAGCTTCCATTACTTCATAGCTATGTTAGCCTTATAGCTTGAGGGCAAAACTGAAGAAGCAAACTTTAGACACCAATCATGTCTTGGCTGATCGACTACATTTGGGCTAAGTTGAAAATTGTGTAAATTATTAGATTTTTTTTGTTATTATTTGAAGAAAAGCAGCCTATAAATGTGCATGTTAAACTGCCCTGTTTCTGTCTCTAACATCACTGCATAATAGCACTATGCAGGACAAGGATAATGTTTCATGTTACTATCATCATTTTATAGATGGTCTAATCTGAACCAAGTTATAATTTCTTCATACAATTCTTCCATCTTTTCGTTCGGTTTGGTAGTCCAGTGAGGACTGGCTTGGGCGGGAGGATGAGCCCCTGACTGGATTCTCTTGGAGAGGCGGCTCAGAACCAGAGACCACTGGCATCCAGCTGTGGAGTGAAGTCTTCATCGTGAGGAAAAGCAATGGCAGAGAGGTACAATGCATACAGATAGATTAGATAGTCATAACGCTCCCAAATAGCTGCATGTTCACAGAGCGTCAACAGAGTTAATCATGACTCAGGCTTTTCTGGCTCAAGATTTAGATTTTTTTTTCACTCACTGTCAGAATGATTGAGCAATCTGAATTTGTGTAAGCTCTGATATCAGGGTTCGTGCAGTCGTGAATCAGTGCAGTGGGGAAAGGGTTTTTCTGTCTATGTAGTGCTGCAATGAAAGATTTTGCCCTATTTGGCTAACTGACCCAAAGTTAACATCATTTGTATTTTATTTAGTAGTCAAATGTTACACCTGATTGTGAACAATAAGGGTATAAACAGTTTATAACTTTTTTTTTTTTGGTCTCAAGGTGGCAGTGTTGCTTATGGACACCCAGGGAGCCTTTGATCACCAGTCCACCGTGAAAGACTGTGCTACAATCTTTGCCCTCAGTACCATGACCAGCTCGATACAGGTACAACCATAACTCTCAGATTTCTTCATATCAGAGCATTTTTGGTATTGATTGATATAAATATTGTTTTTTTTTTTTGTAGATTTATAACTTATCACAGAATATTCAAGAAGACGACCTACAGCAGCTTCAGGTCAGCCCGCTATTCAACATCCAGCCGTAAATTACACAAAGCCTCGAGTATTGTTGGCACCCTTGGTAAAAAAAATACCTTGAAAAAATATGTTGTTTAACAACAGTGCACTGAAAATATGATAAAAATAAGGCAACACACACATATATGTATACACACAGACCAGAAATCTAAAACAGCAGGCTTATACATTTTTTGCATGTCACACTGCGTGAGATGCTGCAAAGACAATCTGGGCCATATTCCATTGCAGACTGTGTGACTTCAGTCAAGCTGCAGGTCAGATTATACCAGTGGTTATCAAACTAGTCCTCAGGGTTGCTGAGACGGTCCACATTTTGCCTTGTTTGCCCTATGCGTTGTGTTGCAAGTTAGGGTCCAGCAAAAAATCTGGCTTGTCTTGCAGTCCCTGAGGACTGGATTATACAATAAAGATTTTATGACGATAGGTGTGCGATGCAAGTAAATGAGGGCCTCCTGTGTGCACCTTCTTCGAAGAATAAAGTAGCGCAACTAAAAAAAGGCCTCGGCGTTGTTTTGCCTCAAAAAACCCACATTAAACAGTGAGGAGGGAGAATTGGGAGCCGTTCATAGCTGGTAAAGAGAGCAATATGGAAAGTTCATTCTCCAAAGGGAAATAGGCCCATTTTTCTGCCCGTTACATGGTAGTTAGCTCTGCCATTCCAGGGCGGATCACACTATATTACTATATGTGAGCTGAGCGCTGGGCCATGCTAATTTACGTAATCTAACATGTAACACGTCAGTAGCATGTCCTCTTTCTCTCTCTCTCTCCCTCTCTCTCTCACACACACACACACACACACACCCACACACACAAACACACATCATTCTAAGCCACTCGTTTTGGATGTTTTTCACTTCTTGTTCACAATTCCTTTATATTTTTTGTTTGCGACAGCATTATTGTGACGAAATCGCCTCCAAAGCTGGAAATTGATGTTATTTGTTGGAGTCTATCTCCTAACAAGTCCCCAGCACTTTTGAAATTAAAACAGTCCTACAACATGACAGATTCACTATCGTACTTCACAGTGGGGTTCTTTACTGCATGATCTTGACTCTTTTTGTGACAAGCCCACCTCTTTTGGGTTTTTCTTTTGGCCAGTAAGCTGTATCTGACCATAGGACCCAGTTTAAACCAAAGTTTTTTTTACTTTCACTCTAAATTTGTTACTAAAATAAATTCTTAGCATTGGCGTACAATTGATTTGTAACATAATGGTACTGCTGTTCATCCATGGCAATCGTCCACTGCGTTCGTCTACGCACTTTTTCACATCAAATTCACATTCTACAAATCTCTACCTAAGTGTCAATGTTCACATATGATGATTTTAAGAAAAAATCTGTGTGTATGAATGATGTTTACCTTTGTAGTTTGACAACAGCAGTGGCTCTCTTCTGGCTAGCCATCCAAAGCTTTTGGGGTTGGAGGTGGTGTCTAATTGTAGTTTTGGAGACTTGGTGATCCTGCAATTATCTAAGCCTGAAACTTCAGAAAGTTTAGTCTCTTGAATCATCCTTACTGGGTGGGGGAAAAATACACCTACGTCCTCTTTCAGACAGGTTCATCACAGCTCCAGCTGCTTGAAACTCATAACATATTTTCTTAATAGTGGAGTTTGGTGTCTCAAGTGTGAAGGTAATTTTTTTAATAGCTGTTGTTTGATTTATGAAGGACTCGCTTGTGGGTGCCCTCTGCCATTTTGCATTCATGTTTTTGATATAATGGGAGAAATAGGAAATGGCCAGGCTCCCCTGCACTGGCCCTGTTTTAATAGCATCAACTATTTTCATTACACTAAGGCTAGCTTTGCCTCAGTGTACTTTAGTGGTTCTCAAAAGCCATTAATGTCCACCATGTCCTCACACTGTCATGCTCCACACTTTCTCTCTGAGAACATGGATGAAACAGCTGTTTTTATCAGGCCTGTTCAGTGGACCCAGTTGCCTGTTGTGCCCTCATGCGTTCAATTCAAAATCATTCTTCAACTTGAATGATAAACCTGTCTGTTCAAATAGGAACTTTTGTTCATTGGTAATGAAAGATTGATATTTTTTTAACTGATAGCAGTGGTTAACAATTGCTTGTGTTGAGTAATGGTTAAATGATTAGTCATTTGCATCCCACACACATCCCACATAATCACAATACTTAGCAAATCTTTAAATATATCAGTAGAATTGTATTGTAGCTCAAGTGTCATGAATATATTGTATGGTGAGGCCTGTAGAGATTTCAACCCAGGTGGTGCTATTGAGGCAGTTTAGTGTAGTCTTTGTGCATTAATTTATATAATTATTTTGTCTTTTATATAGCTGTTTACAGAGTATGGCAGGCTGGCAATGGATGAAATCTTTTTAAAGCCTTTTCAGGTAAGAAAAACCTCTTTGGTGATACTAATGCATGACATAATAAGAAAGAGGAGACACACAATTTAAAGAACAGGAAGGGTGGTTGTTTTCCAACATTTCAAAATGATACCATTTATTTCTATGAATCACATCACATTATAGGGTCAGGGATTTAAACAGGAAGAGCTGAGGGCTTGGTGTGCAGGTAATGAGGGACAGGAGGCACATGACTCACTTGCAATGCCCTGTCTTGAAGTTTTTGACCATTAAAAAATGTTTAGCATGGTTTAATAAATCTGTGCAATAGGTTACGCTAAACTACAGCACAGAAAGAGAATGGGAGGAGTTTAGGAGAAGAGGAAGGAACTACTAAGTCATTCTGGTCCACAGAAGCAGTATCTTGTCCACAGAATCTAGGTGGCACAGCATGAGATATTTTTTCCATGATAAAATGACCCCCCCCCCATCCCCCCGTTCCACTTCCCACAAGAACAAACACTTTTACTTTGACCTTAATATAGAAGTTATTGAATCACAGAAAGGGGGAATTCCACTGATTTTTCACAACGTTTGCATAATTCAGTCGCTGAGATGTAAGCAAAGTCATTCCAAGTGGTTTGATGTGAAATGGTTCAGAGAAAATTACTGACTTGAATTTCTCTGCAGTGGTGTTGATACGAACCAGGAACCATGATGTCTACAGTGCAAATATAGCCAATCCGAAACCACCACGCGTGTTCTGAGTTTTTATATGTAATGTTGATAATGGTAAAAAAGTTCTGAAAGAAACACTTGTAATTTTGTTTGAGTACAATTTTGCCTTACAACACCCTGCATGTGCCTCTCCACCTTGAATGGCTTTTTAACAAAGTTTTAGTCCAAATCCTTATCTCAGAACTATCATGAAGTAAAGTCCTGAAATAACCTGAGGATATTTCTCTGCTTCGTTTATAGTAGGTAAAAGCTGCAGGGACTTTTTACAGACATAAAAAGTAACTGGCATGACAGATTAGAATAAGACTAAAATCATAGAGATACATACATGTATACTATAATAATTACATTACCGCACCTCTCCATGGGAAAAAATGTATCCTGTCCGAATAGCGCTTATATCTGTGAAGTCGCATTCAACAGTCTCTCACATTCACTTTTATTATCTCTCTCCGGCATGTGTCCTGGCTTCTTCACAGTCACTCATGTTTCTGATCAGAGACTGGAGCTTCCCCTACGAGTATGACTATGGATTGAAAGGAGGCAGTGAATTCTTGGATAAACGGCTTCAGGTAGGTGCAGTTCATAACTGTGGTTTGGATCATTGACAAAACAAACTAGTAAAAGGCTAGTAAATGTTATGAATTACATAATGTGGATTTTTTTTTTTGCTGATTTTCTTATGTATTTCATTATTTATAGTGCAATTATATTATATATAATAAGCTGTACTGGGGCTGCATGATATAGACATAAAAGATGATGTCTGATAAAGTTGTTGGATATCATGTTGACAATATGAGAAGCGATTAAGGCATTATGAGAAGTGCATGTTTGTTGTGACGGTAGCCATTACTACTTTATATTGTTCTACCATGCAGTCTGCGCATTCTACACTCAACACTGTGAGTGAGAATAGTCATCACGCTTTAAGCATTTTTACAGGTTAGTACTTAAGGATAGAGTAATTTTATAAGCTGTGCATATGCATGTTTTGTAATTGGCCATTAGCCGTATGGTTAAGTCCAAGTGGGAGAGGAGGGTGGGTTTCTAATGCTACACTCTGCCATTCTAATTGTCACCTTGGCACTGCTTGTGTGAGGTAATGTGTGATGTGTTTATCACAGAAACTCAAATTGTGCTAACGATAAAAATGCTATTTATTGTGCAGCCCTAATCTATGCTATATGTCCAGTAGTTTGTAGACACCATACAGTGTTTCTTCTGAAATCAAGGGTATTAATAAGGAGTTTGTCCCCACTTTGCTGCAGTAACAGCTCTACTCTTCTGGGAAGACTTAACATTAGATGTTGCAACATTGCTGCAAGGATTTGATTGCATTCAGCCACAGGAGCATTAGTGAGATCAGCTTCTGATGTTAGACGATTTTTTTTTGGATAATAAACGCTTATCCTAAAGGTATTGGGTGGAGCTCACCACTCCAGAGAACACAGTTCCACTGCTCCACAGCCCAGTGCTGGGAAGCTGTATACCCCTCTAGTGAACGCTTGGCATTGGGCCTGTAGACCTTAGGCCCATGTGCAGCTGCTAGAGTGCCCAATTCTATTGGCAGTGCTTTTTCTTTGGAGAATTTGAACACCTGTGTCAAATTCACACTTTAACTGCACCTTAAAGTAACTGAAATCACTAATTACAGGGGGTGTTTGCATACTTTTGGACATACTGTCTTAATTCAGTAACCTGCCAGTATTCGAAATATTACGCTTGGTTGTCTAAAAACTATTACAACAGCAGTTTTTGAGTTTGACTCAGTGGAGTCTGCATTAATTTCTGTACATACAATAAGTCCTTTACTTGTCCACTTGTCATTCAGGTGAAGAATTCTCAGCATGAGGAGCTGCAAACAGTGAGACAGCACATTCATTCCTGCTTCACCTCCATCTCCTGCTTCCTGTTACCTCACCCTGGCCTGAAAGTTGCTACAAGCCCTTCCTTCCAGGGCCAACTCTGTGGTACCTATTGCTTACATGTTACTTACTAGTTAGCAGTTCCACATCCATGTTTTTTTTCTCATGGATTTGTTTTAACTCCTTTTTGCTTTTTGATCATTTTTGTTCACTTCCAAAGGCAGCTCAAGTCCTGGAATACCACTGCACAGTTTTGTTTATTTGTTTGTTTTTTTAACCCTACACCAACTGGGACATCTGGTTGAAAGTACTTGACGGTTGGTGATTTAAGTTAGGTGTGCATGAACAAAGTTTAAAAATTGTTTACAAAAAATGACTAGCCCTCTGTGTCTGTAGCTGAGATCCCTGTTATGAGTACACAGAAGAATGAGGTAGTGACTTGCTAACAGTTTGGTCCCTTTAAAGGTGTGAGAACAAAAATTTGCAAAATGTCATCAGTGCTGTTCCAAGTATTTGAATTAATATTTTAATTTTGGGACTCCGAATGTCTTTAAGTAAAGGAATAGGAAATTGGGACATTTTTTGAGCATTCCTTTTAAGAACATTACGTTTTTTCAATAAGCTCTGTGTCTTTTTCAGATATCAGGGATAATTGCATTCAGAATGATGCTCTGTCTCAGCTGGTCCACCACCCACTCTGATTTTGTTGCAAGCATCTCTCTCTGTGTTAAACTTCACTTGCGGGTGGTTTTAATTACATAACATATGAGATACCTTTACACTACCATTCCACCCATCATTGCAAGTTAGCATAAGACAGTAGAAATATTCTTGAGCTTGTTTTCTCAATAGGCAGCAGTTGCATATATATATATATATATATATATATATATATATATATATATATATATGAACCTTGATGCTGGTTTCCTTTCCAAAGACTCTGATTATATATATATATATATATATATATATATATATATATATATATATATATATATATATATATATATATATATATATATAATGTGTGTGTGTGTGTGTATTTAGATTGTTTTGATTGTTGATTATTTTTTTTGGGTCTCCACTTTTGAAGAATGATTGATTAATTCTGCATATTCATTTTATTGTAACTTATGCCTTTAAGTTATACATCTTTCTCAGTCATTTTCGGACAAAATATCTTCATTTTTATTTAAAGCTTCCTATTGTCTTACTAATTATTTGAAACCTGTGATGTCGGGCTAGCATATTAGAATCATTTTATACACTTGTCTGCAATCAAATCAGTTTAATATTGTTGAAAACATTGATTCCAAACCTTTAATCAGCGATTTCAATCTTTTCAGCTCTAGTGTACATTTTGTAGGCTGTAGATGTGTTGTATATTTTTTTTGTGTGTTCGAAATGGTAAACAATCATTTTGCTGCTCAGTAGCACTTGAGTGGACTGTGAGATGCATCAGTGGAAACAAGGTTTCACAGTTCACAGTAAGCAAAAGTGTGAATGCCCCCAGTCAAATGACGTGTTTTCTTGATTTTTAAGTGAAAAGAAGTTAACACATGCTACTAAAATATGCAAATTTTAGAGTATAATTTCTACTTATTTGAGTTGAACATGGAAAAAATCAGACATAAAATATAAAATATGACAGAACTTTTGCACGGACCAATTTTTATTTTTTAATATTTAGTATAAATTGTACAGTAATTATACATTGAAATGTACAGAAGTGTGTTCTCTGTACAGGATATGTACTTATTTTTGCTTAGACAATCAACAAAACCTGATTTGACCAGGGGCACCCAAACCTTTGCACACAACTGTAAGTGCTGACTCATTTCTTAAGGGTTTTATGATCCACTTCCCCTCACTGCTAACCATTTTGGGACACACTTTAATGAGGTGCAGGAACATGCAAACGGAAGTAGCGTGGTGAGGGTGAGGCCTTAGGAAGGGACAGGGCTGAGGACTGTCCGCTTAGGCACTCCTCGAAATTTTACAAGAAATGGAAGGTGGCCATTAGCACTCAGTCCATACAAATTAGTGTTTTGCTCTCCTGTCTGTCTCTTAGATGTGGCTCCAGAGTTTAAAAAAGAGCTCTGCAGCCTGATTCCAACCCTGCTGGATCCTGACAAACTGGCAGTGAAAGAGATCAATGGCAACAAAGTGACCTGCAGGGGCCTGCTAGAGTACTTCAAGGTAAGCACCCATGTAGTACCCCTGGCCTGTTCAGGCATTTGCACCACTATGCAGTTTTCACTTGTGCTATGTTTTTATTTTAGTCATACATCAAGATATACCAAGGAGAAGACCTACCACACCCAAAGTCCATGCTACTGGTAATTATTATGCCTGACATCTCTTTGGACATATCTTTGGCACCTCTTCAAACTGGCTCTGAAATGGTTCCTGTGACTCTGTGACTCAGTTTGTGTTGTTCTGACATCTGTTATTCTGAGAAACAGACCCTGTACATGTACACAGATTTAACATAAATGCAGTAACCCAAATTTTAGCTGCATGAGAACTGCATTTTTATGATAATATCAAAAACAATGGTCTACTTTAATTTTGATCACCCACTGACTGAAAGAATGAATATGCAACTACATACAGGCTCAAGTCTTCCCACACGTTACCAGTTTCTATTTTATAGTCATATCCCAGTCTTCAGAAAAGTTACAATTGTTATGTGTTGACTCATTCAGGCTACAGCAGAAGCTAACAACTTGGCAGCTGTGGCATCCGCAAAAGACCAGTACTACAAGGATATGGAGAAGGTTTGTATGTGGCCTGGAATTGACTGACTGCACAGAGTTAGTGTTACAGTGTTACATTTTTCCCAATATATTACACTCAGTAAATAAATAGAAATTGTGTGCTAAAATTTGCAGATAAATGCTATAATAAGTTTGTTCCCCATAGAGGATACGTACTTATTTTCACTTAGAAAATCTACAAAACATGTCATTTGACTAGGGGTGTTCAAACTTTTGTAATTTGCATGTTAAAGATCATGTTAGAAATTTGTATGAAATGTCTTACTGTCAACTGTTGAAGCTTTAAGCTCATTCTTATTTCTGATTTACAGTTGCATTTATAAGTTCCCTTTGTAAACTTTAATTATTTAAGATAAAGGAAAAAAGAAATATAAAACTTCTTACTCCTTTTCTCTGCTAGGTGTGTGGTGGAGACCTTCCCTATGTAGCGCCTGACTCTCTGGAAGAAAAAAATAAATTCTTTTTGCGTGAGTCTCTCCATCACTTTGCCAGCATAAAAAAGATGGGTGGGCAGGACTTCTGCAACCGCTACCAGGCTCAGTTGGAATCAGAGCTAAATGAGTTATGGGAGTCTTTCAGCAAACACAACGAGGTGAGAAACATGAAAAGAAAAAGTACATTTGAACATGAGAAATGATTTATGTTATAGCAATGATAAATTTTCTCCCTCTTTCTCCCCCCCGTTTTCAGTCAAAGAATGTTTTCAGTGCTTTTCGCACACCAGCCGTGCTTTTTGTCCTGGTTTGCCTTCTGTATGTGCTCTCCGGACTCTTACTTTTCATTGGCCTGGGCAGTGTTTCCTTTGTGTGTGACTGTATGCTGGGGCTGGCCATGATCGCTATGCTCACCTGGGCCTTCATTCGCTACTCTGGCCAGTACCGAAGTGTCGGCTCTGCCATAGACCAGGGTGCTGGAGTGTTACTGGAGCAGGTATGTAAAAAAACAACACAAGGTAAACCTAGTTTTGCTGGACCACCATCACCTGAAGGAATTTGTCACACAGGTGTCTGTGGTATAGGATATAAAAAAAACTTTGCATTATGTGCAGGGTGGTCCACCTGCCCACAGTGTTTGGTGGATGCCCAAATGTTACCAGCCTCTCAGATTTTTTTACACTTTTTATTCAATAAATGTATTATTATTATTATTATTATTATAGTAATAATAATAAAAAATATAATAATTATAATAAAAATGACAAAGAATTTAAATAAGTAGGATATTTAGTAAATAATTCAAGAGTAAGAGTATCAGTGGAGTTTGTGCCTGAAAGAGCCACTGATACAAACAATAAAAATAACAATACAAAAAATTTGCCTTTTTGTGGATTATAATTTGAACCACAAAATAATTTGATAATTTGATTCTTTTTTTATTGTGACATGCTGTGTCTACTGCTGTTTCAAGAATTATTCCATAAAGACATGTATTGCTCTGTATCAAACTTAATTTGCACAGTAACAGATTTTAGGATTGTTAAAAGCATAATAAGACTATCTGATTCAAAGGTGATTTCTGCTCACACTGCACTCATACAAGTGTCTGCAGTTATTCAGAATCATGTGTTAAGTCAGGCAAATTTACATTTTTTCTTTTGGGAGTGTAAAAATATGAGCAAAATCCATGTTCTCAAGTTGATGGCTAGCATGCTAATAGTGCTAGTATTATAATTTTATTATTCCAAGTTAGCTGATGTTACATTGGAAAATGTTTACATTGAGCCCATTTTAAAAACAATGATCAACACATGATGATACTATTCCAGTTTACATTCTGGTGAATTTAATACTAATACTTGAAGGTGAGAATTTCGATCTGATACGATCTCAGACATACAGTACTCAGCATTGTGGTATTGCAACTTTTTGTCTATCACATTTGGTCATCAACTATTTCCTTTCTTTCCTCTAGGCTACAGGCATGCTGAACAAGACAAGAGGCCAGGTGGTTACACAAGAGAAGAAATCAAGATAGCTTTTCAGACAAATCCAAGATTCCAGAATGAGATGCAAACTGCACATATTTTGACACCAAATATTGGTAACACACTTCTCTAAACATGGCACTTAAACTTGGCTTCTTCTACAGCTTCTCATTAAAAGGTGCAATCAGTGTGTTTTAGCATAGCAAACAGGATGCCAGATTTGATCTGCTCAATCCAAACGGATAATGATCTGCTTTTTTTATAAACAGCTGGGTTTATTATCCATTTTTCTACATGTTTAAGTTTGTAGTAACATTTTCTAAGTGGTGCTGTTGCTTGTGGAAATGTATTGATTGTATCTTTTAATTGTGAAAACCATTGTGTTGTTTCTGAACATCAGCACAAACACATAAGTACAAAATCACCTGCCAGCATATCAGGCACAAGTGTGGTTTGCCACAAGGGCTTTTCTCCTTAAAGGAGCTGAAATGATTAGTTTACAGTGTCTTATTTTAATACTACCAAAGACTTTGCCCTTTGTAGTGAGACTCGCAGGCACCTTCAATGGCAGTTTGGGATGCTTAGTATTGTTGTACTGCACTTGTCACAAAAGGCTTTTCCAAATATATATATATATATATATATATATATATATATATATATATATATATATATATATATATATCCCTGCTCATCTTTGTACATGATTAGCCATGACTTTATCAAGACTTGAGCTTATACTGTGTAAAAAATGTAACCGCACTACAATACGTGGCATTTACAGAGCTTTGTTATCTTGGCACCAGCATGGGACCATGTATACACATTCCATCTTTCTGTCTTACATGTATTTTTCTGGGGTTTTTCCCTCTTTTTTCTGTGATTCTTTTTTTTTTGTATGGAGTTAGTATGGCAGTCTCTGCACTGTGTTCAATATACCCATGTAACTCCCAAACAATATTCCCCAACAAACCCAAGTATAAGATTCCGATATCCCTTTTGTGGTTGTGTGTTTGCAGTGTTCTCATATTCCTGTGTTTTGGGAACCATACTTGTCAGAGAATGTGTGGTCATTGTAGCATTGAAAGTTAGATGAAGGATTACTTTTTGTTTTGTGTTCACAAAATCGCATTTGACCATATGTATGACATGCTGTCATTTGGCCATCACTGAATATTTTACAGCCTCGATAAGCAATAATTTCACTATAATGTGAAGGCTTGTCTTCTTGAGTTCTGTGTCGCCTCATTGTAGTTTTCTGGATCACTCAGGGATGATCAGCAGCATGTCATAGATGTGCTGAAAAGTGATTTAGGTTTTGGATTTGGGTCTTTAGTACCATGTCTATTAGTCTCCATCTTTCTCTGTTGCTGGTTGAGTTTTATGAGGGTGAACAGGTCATGTTCTTCTTTTTTTCTTTTTTTTCTTCCAAAAGGTTATTTTGTCCGCTTCCCTGTTGTATTGTTTATTGTAATCAGTTTAAACATCGGGAGCTGGCCGAGTACTGTTAAAGCACATTCTAAACACATTCCAATATACCTTTGCCTTTAAATTCATGAATGCATCTTAATTGAACACTCCTCAGTTCTTGTGGAGTTTACACCTTTAACAACCAAGGAAATGTTCCAAAAATGGACTGCTTGCCCAAAAGACAATATATTTAAGAAAAATATACAGTTTGTGCACTTGAGAAAGAACAGGGCTGAGAACCTTGTTTTTGTTTGAATACAAGCAACTCTTAAACCAAATACAAAGGCGCAGTTATGGACAATGAGGATCCGAGTACTGATATCTCGGTCACCTGTCCATCACTCACATTTCCCTGATGTTTTTCCGCACAGATTCCATGTCTTTGAAGCCTCAGTTGGGGCCTCTGCTTTGTGTGTTGTACTTCATTTATTCTGTCAATAAAAAGGACAATGCTTAAACTGCTCTAATGATTTGGGGTTTAATACATGCACCCCATTCATACAGCATTTTATTGTTACATTACCTTATGCATTCCATTAATAAAGTTACAAGCATGCCATATCCTTGTGTTTTGTTGTGTTTATATGTGCCATAGATCAGCATAAACAACTGCAATGTAAGCATAGCATTGCATGATTCAGTAATATAGGTCAAGTTTTGCACACTAGGTGTCAGCATTGACTCGTGCATGTCTTTAACACGGTAGTGGTGCCATGCCTTCATTTACATAAGCACAAGCATTCATTTGTGACCGCAATATTACAGACGGATGCCAAATCTCACCGTGTTGGACGGATGTTGAGCACGAACCATTTAAAAGCAGAAAGAATCTGTACGGTTTTTTCAGTGTCTTCGGTTTTACTCACTGCATCAGTCATGATGCGTCAGTTAGGGGTTTCAAACGGAGAGGCATTTAACAAAACGACAGGTTTTCTCTTGTTTTGTCTTTTCTCCCCCTCCGTCCATCACACATTAGTGATTTCTCCGGTTTCGCCGCGCGCCCCCTGCCGCGTGCTGCGCGCGCTACCGCCGTGCGAATCAGAGCCCTCCTCGTGTCCTTATATGGCGATCGGAGTCGCGAGGTGCCGGGAGCGCGCGGCATTGGCTGCTGCTGCTGCTGCGCGCTCACGGCTGTCACCGTTCGCTTCCTTATTTGGAAGCGAGTTAAGCGAACCTTAAAAAAAGGGGGCAGAGACAGACAAAAGGGTTTTAGAGCCGGGCGGCCGCATGCCTCGAGAATCGATGCTGAATGGAGATTTCACTTGTTAGCATTTGCTTCTTTCAGTGCGGCAAAAAATATCGCAAAAATCGCTTCTACCTGGTGGTTTAGGAGACGTGGTCTGCTTTAGCGAGCCTCGCTCCTGCTCCGCCATATGTCTCATCAGGGCCCCTCCAGCTCATTGATATTATTAGTACAGCTGATTTAAGCTTGAACACGCTGCATAGTTTGAAATTTGTGGCTGCTGTAAACTGCATCCCTGTCTTTTACGAAACTGCATCCCATAATAGTATCCAGGCATTTAATACCTTTTATTGTGCATATATTTTACAGTAATGGCCTCCAGCCTTATCAAAAGCGCCCCAATTACAAATGTACTTGTTAGATAGCAGTGCTGCCAGCCCAGTACCAGCTGATACCTCGCACCATGTTAGATGGGTTCATGACTACCACACAACATGTTTAATGGGAGTAAAAGTTAATACAGTTACTCAGATTTTCACTCATGATTCGTCTATTTTTTTATCTGAGGTCTCTTTAGCCAGCAAGCCAACTCTTAAGTAGCTACGTTTGTTATTTTTGTTTGTTTGTTTTACCGCTGGCGCGTATTTATTGACTGTCGGCTGACTAACTTTAATTTCTCTGCGTTAAATCAAAATACAGTATCGTTCGTGGAGGTAGCAGACAGGACTCCATGTCCCATGATGCTTGCCCGAAGCACGTGACCGCCCGTGACGCGCTCGCTCCCTCCGCCGTGGCGGGGCGCGCGCGCTGAAGGGCGCGTCCGTGCGCTGAATCAAGAGAGCGAGGAGCAGCAGACTGCAGCACAGCTCATTCAATTCACACCCAGACGCCGACTCACTCAGAGACACAGCCATGGTATGTCTGCATTCGTCTATTATTCATCCTCACTGTCAATAACAGCTTTTTTTGAGTGTTTGCATGTTAGTGGGCAACGAGTTTTGTCTTTAAGCTGAACACGATCTGATTTTCTCCGGATTTCTCTCTCCAGCTGTCCGACTGACGCCTTTCTCCGCTCCGGCAGCGCGGCTAACTGCTGCTTAGCCTGCTAGCTAGTTCACTCGGTCTAACGTTAGCTGGCTACCGCTGGTCTGAAATGTGGAAAATTAAAACCTCCGCTACAAAATATACGGACATCTTCATTGTCTGGCGCTTAAATATAACACACTCGCCTGTTCCCGATTGTCGAAAGTTTGCTCATGAGTCGCAGATCTGTGGATGCGGTGAAAATGACTAAAATCGACCCAAAAACAACTGGCGCCATTTCCTCACTCACCCTTTTATTTCCGTTAGTTTAGGCCCAGCAAATGCCGATCTTGCGTTTTTTAGTGGATCATTTTTCCCTTTTTGGCTAAGCAAGTGTGGGCCTTACAATTCAAGCACGATATCAGTCTCATGGTTTTGTCTGGATAGTGTGCCTCCAGAATCCGCCCGGTTTCAGGGTTTTCGCCGAGCCGGTGAAGCATCGTCTTCATCGGCCGACGCTAACGGCTAACGGGCTAACGGGTTCCATCCTTTGTCTCAGTATGGCCATCCGGAGCATCCCGAGGCGGTAAGCGTGTGTTTTTCCTCGCCGATTAGCGAGCGCATGTATACGCAGTTAGTAGACGTCTTATTTTGTAGAAGCAGCGGTGTATTTTTTTAAAAAACGTCTCTTTTGTGGATTTGAGTGGCTAGCACATGGGGAGCGCTGCATTGGCCCGTGGCCCCACCCTAACTTTCCTGAATGCACTGACCAGCTCGGTTTATTCCGTCCACTCGCGAAATCGGGAACAGATTGTCGATCGTGAACGGCTCGTGTATGTCGAGAAGCCTTAAACCGCGAATACTGCCTGTGTGCTAATAGTAAGGCGTAAAATCGTCATTTAAAGAGGAAAAAAGTGCGTTTTTCTTATCGGCGGCTGCGACGTCGTTCTTCCTGGTTGTTCGCAGCTCAGCCGAGCGCCGCGTTTATTTATTTTTATTTTTGGAGTAGCAGTATTATTAAAACCAGCGAAAATACTCGGAGGTTTTATGAAGACTGCGACGTTTCCACAGAAAACCGCTCGGGCCTGATCGTCTCCTTGCCGTATAAAGTGAGTCGTAGTCGTGCAGTTGAAATGAGGGAGGCCCGAACTTCCTCACCGTTTTATATACGCGGGCGAGCAGTATCGTCTGCTGCACTCACGCTGTGGTCTTGGTACAAACCAGCTCTGTTTATGGTAACCGCATCATCACTAAGATTGCAGATAAAAAAAAAAAACCTGAAGTAGTCATTTGCAGTGAGGGCTCACTCTTTTTCCGGCCGTGTGAAGGAAATGCCGGTTCCGGTTTGAGAAGTCGCCCCTTTTCTCCTGTTTCTAAACCCTGCACATGTGTGGAAGGCCCACAGTAGTAAGTTAGGCCTCTGGTGTTTTTTCACCATTGCCTTTCTTTGGCTGGGAATCGTAATTCCTTTGGTTATTCGAGTGCTCTCTCTTTTGCCAACATGCAGCTGGTTTAGTCTAATCTCAGGTGGAGAATACTGCACTGTTACTTGAACCTTGGCTTTTGATCACGGCCTTTGGTATTTTATGACAGGAAGAGAGACGTCGTCTAGTGTGGCCCTTTTTCTTTTTCAGCATTCTGACATACTCTCTGACCTGCCGTTGTACTTAAAACGTTATTTTAAAAGAACTGTTAAAGTATTTAAAGTATTAAATAGTTTAATCAGTATTTTTCTAAGGCTTTTGATGCTTCTTTGTGAGTAAAGAAGTCTGAACATGTTTTCTCTGCTGATATCGGTCATTCACACCCCTGAGCAAATCCATCCACACCCTTTGTACACACATTTCCTTAAAGTGGCTCACTGATGCAGCCTGGCCCTGTAGAATTCAGTCTAGTCTAGTCCTTCTTGAGTCCCGTCTCCACAATGAGTTCTAATATGATACGCTGGTTATTCAGTGGCTGAACTGACACCCACTTGTGGAGTCGGGTTACTTGTTGGTTGTCTCAGGGGTTTGAGGTTTGAATAGTTTTATGGGTTGCAGTGTTTAACAGGACAGGAGAGGTTTGACGTCCAAGATGTAGTTTGAAATCTCTGTTCTGGAGCTCATCTGTTCCTCTTAGTTGTTGTAATGGAAATCAGAAGACCTGAGTAGGTTTATAGGGCTGATGTGACTCAGGCCGTTTTGATTTTGACAGTAGCGCCATTGTGTGTGCGGTTAGCCTGTGCTTAGGAGCTGCAGGACTAGCCCCTCCTTTCTCTGCACTCCTGCTGTCACAGCTATATGGTCGTGCCTTGTTCACGTACTTTCGTGGGGAAACGTAAGGCTCACTTTTTTTTTTGCGTAACATAAGAGAGACCCACCTTGAAACACTGCAGCTTATCGCTCTTAACAACCAATGTGTTGTATATTTAGCGAACAGCCAAACACTCCCATCTCTATATACTGATTCTGTCACAGGCTTTATGAGGAAGTGTAGTTCCTTTTCTCAGTGTTCATGTGAAATAGCATTCGCTTAGGGTTGTAGTGTCATGTGACTTGAAAAGAATCATACTTCAAAGGTACAGAGTTGAGCCTCTCCTTACTTCTTATTCATGTGATTTTTATGTAAGTGTAGGGTTTCTTTCTTAATTCTAGTTTGTTTTAATTGTCTTTGTGGCACCATAACCACAGCTAACTGATGTCACCTAACTAACTAACTTTTAAACCAGCTGTCCTTGAAACACGCGTTCATGCTGAAAGGTTTAGGCCTCCACGGGTCTCCTCATGTTTCCCACGCGTCAGTGTTTTCCTACGTCTTACTGCAAAGTCTGCCATCCAGGTAGTTCCAGTTCAAGTTGTTTCTGATCAAGCATGTCAGTAATGTAATTTGGATTGGCTTTTCTGGTTGTCATGTCGATTTAATCCTAGTCTCACCCTCACACAAACGTGTTTGTGCACAAATACCCATTAGCTCATTTACTTCCCTTTCCGCATAGAGAATCATTGGGCAGGTGCCATAGTGATACCATGTGACCATCTCTTTTCTCTTTGTGTGTGCCTGCAGGCCTCCGGAGTTACAGTGGAAGAGAATGTGCTGACAGTCTTCAATGAGATGAAGGTCCGCAAAGCGCAGGCCAATGAAGAGGAGAGGAGGAAGAGGAAGAAGGCTGTCCTGTTCTGCCTGAGCGAGGACAAGAAGAAAATCATCATGGAGGAGGGCCGTGAGATCCTCCAGGGAGATGAGGGAGATCCCTACCTCACCTTTGTCAAGATGCTCCCCCCTGATGACTGCCGCTACGCCCTGTATGATGCCACATATGAGACCAAGGAGACCAAGAAGGAGGACCTGGTTTTCATCTTCTGGTAAGGGATGCTCACAATAACTTGCAGCACTGATGGAGACTGTAGTTAATGTTTTAGAATAGGTTTACACTGTCCTGATGCAGCAGCTGAAGCATTTTTATTTTTTTAAATATGCTCTCAGGGCCCCTGAAAATGCTCCACTTAAGAGCAAGATGATCTATGCTAGCTCCAAGGATGCCATCAAGAAGAAGTTCACAGGTGAGAATCTTGGACGATAGTAATTAATTTTGGTTAAATAAGATTCTTAAAAGGTGTGACTTGTACTACAGTTTTGAGTGACGTTTTCTGCCTATGTGATGCAGGTATCAAGCACGAGTGGCAAGTGAACGGTTTGGATGACATCAAAGACCGAAAGACCCTTGCTGAGAAGCTCGGGGGATCATCAGTGATCACTCTTGAAGGGAAGCCTCTGAATGATTGAGGCCAACGCTTTTGAGGGGTATAGCTGTTCATTCCGACATTGGTGGGGCAGGGGGGCTTAGCAGGATTGTTTGCAGGGCTGGTGGGTGGGTTCTTGTGGGTGGGGAGGGTTGGTTGAAAGTGACAGTTTCCAAACTCCACAAAAAGTAGGCTGTCATTCCAGTTCACACATACAAAGAACAAAACACAAAAGAAAAAAGATCTTAAAAAAATAATTTAAAAAATGATGAAGGATGATGATTATAAAAACAAAATATAATTGTAAATGTGCAGACAGGTTTTTGTTCTTTCCGGGTTCCGCTTGACTGAAGGGAAAGGATGAGACTGAACAGCAACCGTTACTATTCAACTATCAAATCTACAGAATACTGTTCATACCTTAATTATACAATGAAGGTTTTTTGTTTTGGTTTTTTTTTGTTTTTTGTTTTGGTTTTTTTTGCCAAACTTCTGGTTAAGTTTAAGTATGTGTAGAGTTGAGACTAGGTGTAGTACAAAACAGTTTACTTCAGGAGTGGATGCACAATAAGTATCAATAATAGCATTTTGGGGTCACAATTACTCTCCTTCCCCCTTTTTTTCCTTTCTTTCTTATTTTGAAATTCCAAGTGGCTTTTAATGATTCCAGCTCTTATTTGCAAACATTTCCAAAACCATGGCACTTGTGTCAAGAAATTTAAACACATTCCTTACACATGTAAAAATTCTGGATCTGGTGGCTCGGATGCCTGCTGATGAATTGGTTTGATTGAAGGCAGAATGGGATGAAGGAAAGATGGGCAGCGACGTATTTGAACAGCCTGTGTACAGAGCTTTGAAGGATATTGGATAGTGGATGTTTTGTATCGTCTCCTTATCTCTAATAAAAAAGGCACTAAACTACTCCCCTGTTATGACTGGTTTTATATGAAGTTTGTCCATACTGAACTATTTTATTTCATGAAGTGGCCACTGGTTCCCTTGCTCTTTAAGGTCTGCCTATTAAATTTGAAGTTTCACATTGAAGTAATGTATGTAAAATACAGTATATGCATGTGTTCCTTCACTTTTTCCACATTTTGCTTTATATTTCATTCAAAAGGAATTCTTAAACAAAATAATCTTTGTTGGTATTCGTCTTATGCTGTCACTTTCTACTCTGGTAATTTAAATTCATATGATTTATTGAATGTGTGAGAAGTAGTTAATTGCACTTGTTGCAAATTCAATTGAATGGACATTTGGAAAGGTCACTCCTTAACTTTTTCGTAGGTTCTACAGTCCACTGTGCACATAAGAGCAAAAAACACAGGGCCATGGCTTGTGTAGACCTTGTGCGTTATGCCAAGTCAGAGAGAGTTGCTCAAACATTCAAAGTTCCTAGGAGCACAGTGAATAGGAAAAATCTGGAACCTAAAGTCTTTCAAAGCTGCTTGTCATAGCTAGCCAAGAAGGATTGTGGTCACTTTACCAGAGGTGGGAAAACCTGCCAGTATGGCAGCCATCTCTGCAATAATATGTCTGTCATATCTTTTGATGGAGTGGCTAAATGGGAATTAAAATGATCTGATTTAGACTTTAAAGATTCTAACAGTATGCAGACACTGATTTCAGCACTGTATCTGGCAAAAACCAGGTACTGTGCTCATGTGGTTAATACCACCCATATGGTGAAGCATGGTACTACCATCATGCTAAGACGATGTTTCACATAGAAATGTTTGGAAGACTGTCATTGAGAGAATGTAGAAAGCAACCAAATACTGAGAGGATCAAGACTGAATGCCAAAGGACAGATCAGAGCCCCACTGAAAATATGGGAAAAGACCTGAAGATGGCCGTTCAGATGCTCCCCAGTCAGTCTAATAAAGATTCAAAGGAAACAGGAAATGCAAATTAGCATAACTTCTGGGTCTTTAGAGCAAATTATCTGAATAGTTATGTAACCTTTTTTGTTTGGATTACTAAAATGTGTTCAGTATGTCATGGGCATTACAGTGTAGACTAAGGTAAACAAAAAAAAAATGGAAATTTTTTCACATTAGAAGAAGTGAAGTGGTCTGAATGTTTCATAAAGCCATTGTGAACAGTCTTATGACTGTTATTGGATCTTTACCTAAAAGGTCTGAACAGCAGTTGCAGCTGACCATGGTTTCACTTCCCAAAATCGTTCTTGTGTAATTGCCCGAATGGCTCACTGCAGGCTTTTAGTTAAAGCAGCCCAGACCTTTAATTATTGCAATATAAATCCCAATCATATCCCTAATAATCCTGCCACTGCTGTATACTGTATTGTTGATCTGCTGCTCCTGTCACTTCCTTATTTATGTACCTGAAGCATAATACAGTGTTCCTAAGAAGTAATCCATGGATTGTTTAGGTAGGTCAGCGTTACCGAACGCTGCCACTACGACTAGATTTGGCCTTCAAACTACTGACCTGTGCCATAAAGCCATAAAGAATCAGATTGAGGTGTAAAAGTGATGATATTGTTTCACTGTACTCCATTTACCTTTATTGATCCATCATAATTGAGACTGAATTCCTGTTGCACTCCTATTGACCACCTAAGCGTTTTCTCGATCACCCATCGCCATGTTGTGGTATGTTCTCAAAAATATGAATGTGTTCTTGGGAAGGCCACTAGAGGGCAGCCAACATCTGTGCACAAAACATGGAAAAGTACTTTCATTGCAGAGACTACCCCTTTCTGCTTTCAGTCCTACTACAGTTAGTATCAAGCTATAATGGGCCTTAGTCTCATATAAACGTCTTCACCTTATTTGAAGTTGTAGCTGAGTTACTCAGGCTGAAGGCTGTGGTTAGGTAAAATCAACTCCATTCAGACTTTTGTAAAAACTTATGTTTTCAGCAAAACTTCTTGAGACACAAAGGCTGTGTTTCAGTTAATCACATGACTCACATGGACTGCTTTGCTGTGTGGACCGCGAATCTTTACAGTGACCACACATCTGGATGATTGGTTGCTGTCTGCTCTCGAGCTGGTGCTAAACTTGCATGCTTACTCACTACAGTCATTACTTGAGCTAATCCTAGAATAGATTTAGAGGTATAATCAGGACATTTTAAACTACCAAAACACAGGAACACTGTACATTACCCTACTTTTCTATAAGAGGTTAGTTGACCAGCTGTGTTGAAAGAAAAGATCAAGTGCATTCACAGAGAACAGCCATCAAGAATGTGTACCAAATCCAAGATATGTGTTGCTTATACTAGGGGTTCTCAAACACTTCCACCTTAAGGTCCACTTGTTTGTCATTAGTATTAATGAAGGCTTACAGGAAAACAAAACTCAGATCTAATTGTTCGTATATCTTTTAACACAATACATCCACTCTTGCAATATGTGATGTGGATCAGTGAATGTAAAATATCCAAAGAATGGTAGCACATTAGGTAGAATATTTCTACAATGTTGTGAGTGGACAACTGAAACATAGAGGGGAGAATATTTTGTGTTTAGAGTCAAGGGTCAAAAATTGATGAACCTTTTTGTCACTGTTTTTGCAGGCCTCATATTATTTTGTTCACCATTTAAGAACATTTTATATTTCTTTTTGTGTCAAAAAGAAATATAAAATGTGCCATCGCAAACCCATTACAGACGACTGGCACCCCCTCGGTATTGGCCTAAGGACCGCCAGAGGGTGTTTCAGTGGTTGGGCCCAGTGGTTGAGAAACCCTGGTTTAGGCATCACATGTTCAACTGTACTGTGGGAACTATAACTCATTCAGAATTTGCTTCCAAATTCAAGGTATGAAGGTCATTGGAGTAGAATTAAGTCCCATAAAAGAAAGACATACAAGACAATACCCAACCTTAAAATGAGCAAACGTTCACATTCACCCAGGCATGCGCTCTTGCAGTCAGAAATCTGCCAAGAAGTCGTATATAAATTATGAATTATGGTTTATGCTCAAAGACTGCAATTCAGGTTCACAGGCAGCAAAGCAGCCCACATGCTTCACAGCAGTTTCTGCTTAATTTAACAGTTTCAATAGAGGCTAGTTTGACTCATCTCGCCAAAGCATGTCATGAATCCTGAGAATGACACCAGAATTTAGAATAGGTTTACCATGATGACTGACTTTAAACAAAACACTTTTCAACAGAGGAACCTCAACCCAAAAAGGCGGCGGTGGGAGTGTGGTGTGATTTGAGACCACGAAATCAGAAATGCACAACCAAAGCTATAAAAATGCATGTGTAAGATATCATTATGCACTGCATTGTACAGTAGACTAGTCTGGACCTAAACCTCTATGAAATCATGTGGCCTGGAGACTGGAGTTTGGCAGGGAGGAAAAATATATTCCTCCAAAATTGAAACTGATCAACAGTTATGGGATACACTTTTTTGTCTCTAAAGAGGGGTCACAATCGTTTTTGTTTCAGGTAGTGTCTTTGACTGTGAAACGTTTCAGGCTAAACTAAATGCCAGTTATTGAAACACTGAAAAAGATTTGAATGTGTTTCACAGTGTTATTTTAGGGTAAATTTTAAGTGATTAGACGCTTGAGAAAATCACACAGCGTTCACAAACATCTAGGTGCTATATTTACATTATCAGTTGAATTGGCCTGATAACTGCATGTACAAAATTCTACATCATGCATATGGTATAGAGCAATTTCATAATTGGGTTTTACTACTTGAGTTGTGACTTATTTGACTTATAATGATAGTAAATTTTAGACATGTCGATATTCAATAATAAGGTACTACAATCTCCAACACAATGTTGTTATCGTGGACCCTGAAATACCATGCATTTTTGTTGAACAAGTTGCAGTTTCACCAGACATTTATTTACAGAGTAGCTTTTGCTTTCACAAGCTCCCACTACACTGTCACATTGTGATCTCAAGCTTTATTTGGTGTTTGTACAACTGCTATATGTGATATTGGTTTGAGCATCTTGCCAGCTCACAGCAAAAGTTCCAGTGTTATCCTTTCATACTCAATATGTTAGCTAGAGTGCCAAGAGCCTACCACCCTCAAAATATCAAGTGGAATCTAAAGACATAATGGGCCTGTTAAAAAACAAGATTCCACACTGCCAAGCCATTATAAGAACCATCAGCAAAGTTAAATGTAAAATCATCATTATTTAAAAAAAAAAAAACATTCAGAGCACTACATGTATGTTCGTGTCTTATACATGTACCCTGCTGAAAAAATCATAGAAACGATTCAGAGTTTCTGTTGGTTCCTGGTGGTGTCCAATAGCCACTAATGGTATTTAGTGATTTCCTGATGGGTTTACATCACCATGTAAAAGATTCTAATGGTGTAACAGGTGTTCCAGGACTGATTCCAGATGTATTTGATGGTTTCCTAAAGGGGTCTAAAGGTGACCCGCAGGAAGCTTGTGATTTATGATGAGAACCATTAAGCCAATTCTCATTAAAAAGCAAAGCCATCAGGTTTTAATCCTTATATATATATATATATATATATATATATATATATATATATATATAAGGATTATACATAAATCATGATAAAAAATTTATCATGATGTTCAATTTTCATATAATGGCATACGGATATTTTTAGATGTACAAGTAAATATATAAATTTTGAAATATTGACCTTTCCATAAATTAGCTCTGGATCTGCAGCACAAAATTGGTGGTGATTTTTTTCTCTCAAAATATGAAATGATGGTCTCCTCTGATTGACATTAAAGACTCCCAACGAGTGGTCCATAAAGGACACTTCCCAGAGGAACAATGTCTTTATTAATACTGTCTCGAAGTAATAAAGCAAATCTCAATGTTGTATTAATGATCACTGATTTCTGAATTCTAAACCCCCTTAGGAGAAAAGAGGAGATTAACATCAGCATTTCATTATGAGAATTTCTGGTGATCTGG